TAAAAAAAAAAAAAAAAAAAAAAAAAAAAAAAAAAAAATGGTGTAAAAAAAAAAAAAAAAAAAAAAAAAAAATCAGCCTCCTCATATTCCAGAATGGCTGTGGTTGAGGAGGAAAACTTATGAACCAGGTTTTGGTGTCAAGTGTGAGGTGACTTCAGGCATGGGAAAGGCGTGCCCCTTCATTTGAAGGCCATAATGTTAGTTGCAAATAGTTTCTGATCACGCCCTGTTTGACAGAACCTGGTAACTCCTGACTGCATGGGAGGCTAGGGAATGGCTTTTTTTCTGGGATCTGCCTGCCTGGCTGTAATTATGCCAATAGGGAAGATGAAGATCCTGCATGTTGAGGGTCACGGAGTAATCTCTCCTACACATGCCCAATTCTGAACCCACCATTGGCAAACGCTGGAATACCATCATTCCAACTGGGTTCTCCTGGACCTGGGATGGAGTCAGTCTCCCTTAGGCCCCTGGGCCATGTGCCAGGCCTCAGAGGAAGAAATAAGGCAGGAAATGGGTGCTTCTGGGCACCCCACAACATAGACTACAGAAGCTAACTTCACAAGACACAAGTTGAAAGCAAGGATTAGAGATTGACCTATAGTAGAACAGGGCGGTGTCAGGACTGTGGGGAAGGCAGCATTTAGGCCTTTGGAGACGAAGAAGGTGTCATCAGAAGTACAAGGAAACCCTGGAGAAATGCTATTTTGGAGGACAGGAGCAAGCAGTTTTTTTTTTTTTCGAGACAGAATCACTGTGTCACCAGGCTGGAGTACAGTGGCACGATCTCAGCTCACTGCCACCTCTGCCTCCCAGGCCCAAGCAATTCTCCTGCCTCAGCCTGCCAAGTAGCTGGGACTACAGGCATGTGCCACCACACCCAGATAATTTTTTGTATTTCCAGTAGAGACAGGGTTTCACTATGTTGGCCAGGATGGTCTCAATCTCCTGATCTCATGATCTGCCTGCCTCAGCCTCCCAAAGTGCTGGGATTACAGGCATGAGCCACCACGCCCAGCCATAGACAGGAGCAGTTTTTAGAAGAGATTAGGCTGGGTGCAGTGGCTCACACCTGCACACTTTGGGAAGCTGAGGCAGGAGAACTGCTCAAGCCCAGGATTTGAAGGTTGTAGTGGGCTATGATCACACCACGGCACTACAGCCCAGGTAACAGAGCAAGACCCTGTCTCTAAAACAAAAGAAAGCAAGCAAAACAATACAGAGGTTTTTTTTCTTTTTTTAAAGAGACAGGGTTTCACCATGTTGGTCAGGCTGGTCTTGAACGCCTGACCTCAGGTGATCCACCCGTTTCAGCCTCCCAAAGTGCTAGGATTGCAGGCGTGAGCCATCACGCCTGGCCCAGAGTTTTTAGTCCCTACCACTAGGGATTCTAATTCCATAAAAGTAAAAGTGGCCAGGTGCAGTGGCTCACACCTGTAACGCTAGCACCCTGGGAGGCCAAGGTGGGAGGATTGTTTAAGCCCAGGAGTTTGAGACCGGCCTGGACAACATGGCAAGACCCCATCTCTGTTTAAAAAATAAATAAATAAACTCTCTTTCTATATATAAGCATAAATCTTGCCGTTAATATTCTCAGTTACCTGTCTTCAGAAATGGACCCCTGTGAAATGAAGGGGGAATTTAGAAAATGGACACTGTGATTTTTCACTGAAATGGGAGCATCCAGCCCTGGCACAGTAGCTCATGCCTGTCATCCCAGCACTTTGGGAAGCTGAGGTGGGAGGATTGCTTAAGGTAGAGTTTGAGACCAGCCTGGGCAACATAGTGAGACCTTGTCATTCCAAAAACAAACAAAAATATTAGCTGAATGTGGTGGTGCATGCCTGTTTTCCCAGCTACTCAGGAGGCTGAATCGGGAGGAACACTTGAGGCTGGGAGATTGAGGCTGCAGTGAGCTATGAATGCATCACTGCACTCCTGTCTGGGTGACAGAGCAAGACCCTGCCTAAAAAAAAAAAAAAAAAAAAATTAGAAAGTTAAGAACTCTGTTCCAACTTCCCCAAAAGACAGTTAAATGTTGAGAAATATGAGGATAACTTCTTCCCTTGACCTCCAATGTTATAAAAAGAATGCAAACATATTGAAAAAGATCATATCATATTCATTCTCTGAAGCCACTGATTCTGATAAAGTCAGATAAAAATGACACATTAGAAAAAAAATTATGTCAATGAATGTAGCTCTAAGAATCTTAAAACTTCAGGGATCAGCTCACGTCTGTAATCCCAGAACTTTGAGAGGCCAAGGTGGGCACATCACTTGAGGTCAGGAGTTCGAGACCAGCCTGGTCGACATGGTGAAACCCCATCTCTACTAAAAAAAACAAAAATTACTTGGGCATGGTGGCTCGTACCTGTAATCTCAGCTACTCAGGAGGCTGAGGCAGGAGAATCATCTCAACCCAGGAGGTGGAGGTTGCCATGAGCTGAGATCCCACACCATCTGAGCTCCAGCCTGGGTGACAGAATAAGACTCCATCTCAAAAAAAAAAAAAAAAAAATCTTAAAACTTCAAAAAAATGGAAAGCAGTCATTACATTTAAGGAGATATATGTTAAAACTACAATCTTAATTTGAAAATTTTGTTGGTATCATAGATATATCAAGAAAAAAGTGGTCATTTTAATTAAATATCTCAAAGGTATTTGGTAAAGTTTGATACCCATTCATAATAAAACATTTTAAAATAAGAAAACAATGCTTCTTTAACATGATGAAAGAGTATTTACCTTCCTTATAAATATCAAGGCATTCTATAAAGCAGTAATATTAAATAATTCAGTATGGGTGCAGGAATAAACAAATCAGTCAGTGGAACAGAATAGAGAATAGAAATAGATCTTTTTCACGTGGGAATTTAGGATACGAAGAAGATTGGGAGAATAATGGCCTAGCGTAAAAGGCATTGAGATAATTAGCTATGCACTTAGGAAGATAAAGTCAAGTCCCTGCTTGATACTCCTCACTAAAATCAGTGGGCTTAGATCCTTCTGTGGTTCAGAATTTGGTGACTAGGTTTTCATGCCCATGTGTGAAATGCGCCTCCCTCCAATCTTGTTAAGATGTCAGCACATTGCCTTCTGATGGGAAAGACAGAAAAACAAGTAAGTGAAATAAATGAGCTTATTTTTGTGGCTTAAGGGGCCAAATGAGAACACAAAACCATACAGGTATTAGAAGGAAATACAGGAAAATGGGTTTAGAACCTTGGGGGTTTAGAAGACCTTCAACATGACATGAAATACAAATGACAGAAAGGAAATGGTTGATCAATTTGATTACATCAAAATTTTAAATATGTATATGGTCTAAAATGCCTTAAAGATGAGCAAAAACCTGGAAGAATGTAACTGAAATATGTATAACAAGAGACTGATACCTAGTATTTAGGAGGAAAGTAAGTATTCTTTTCTCATTTTTTTTTTATGCTATCTAAAGAAGCGCAAATTGGGGCTGGGCTCCGTGGCACATACCCATAAATCCCAATGCTTTAAGAGGTTGAGGGGAGGATCGCTTGAGCCGAGGAGTTTGAGACCAGCCTGGGCAACACAGTATAATCCCGTCTCTACAAAATATTAAAAAATTAGCCTATATGTGGCATGCACCTATAGGCGCAGCTACTCAGGATGCTGAGGTGAGAGGATCGCTTGAACCCAGGAGTTCGAGGCTGCAGTGAACTATTATTGTGCCACTGCACTTCAACCTCAACCTGGGCAATGGAGCAATACTATTTCTTAAAAAAAAAAAAAAAGATAAAAAAGGAACTGCAAATTAAAAAATAATAACTGAATAGAAATGTGGGTAAAGGATACAAATGGGCAATTTACAAAAGGGGAAATGAAGGTGCCAAGTTTTTGGCCTATCTGATTGGCAAAAAGGAAGAACATTAATGATAACCGTGGCAAGGTTTTCGGGAAATGAGAGCTTCCAGTTCATGATTGTCGGGGTGTAAATTGAAGCAGCTATTCAGGAGAGCAATTTAATAGTCAAAGTAATGTACATAAGGCTGGGTGTGGTGGCTCATGCCTGTAATTCTAGCACTTTGGGAGGCTGAGGCGGGTGAATTGCTTGAGCTCAGGAGTTCAAGACCAGCCTGGGCAACATGGTAAAACACCTTCTCTACTAAGAATACAAAAATTAGCCAGGCATGTCATGACATGTGCCTGTAATCCCAACTGCTCGAGAGGCTGAGGCTGGAGAATTGGCTGAGCCCTGGAGGCAGAGGTTACAAGGAGCTGAGATTGCACCATTTGTACTCCAGCCTGGGTGACAGAGTGAGACTGTCTCAAAAAAAGAAAAAATGTACATACTCAGTGAATTTGGAAATTTTACCAAATTGAGACACACGTACACAGAATCAGTTCTAGAATATTTTTAGATGGGTTTATCTGATATGATATTATTGAAGACAAATTGTTAGATTTAAAATACTCAGATGGCACCAAATTCCATTCACAATACCGACAAAAACATGTAATATCGAGAAGTAAATGTAGAACGACTGATTTCGTGAGCAACATAAAGGCGTAATTGAATGAAAACTGTGGCATTCAGGGGAAACTGTATTTTTTTAAATTATTATTATTTTTTTTGAGATGGAGTCTAACTGCAGCCTCCACCTCCCAGGCTCAAGTGACTCTCCTGCCTCACCCACTGAGTAGCTGTTATCACAGGCAGACGTCACCATGCCTTGCTAATTTTTATATTTTTAGTAGGGATGGGATTTCACTATGTTGGCCAGGGTGGTCTCGAACTCATGGCCTCAGGTGATCCACCCACCTCGACCTCCCAAATTGTTGGGATTACAGGCATAAGCCACTGTTCCCAGCCCAGGGAGAACTGTATTTTAAAGGTATTCCTTATCAGCAGACGGACATTGTAGGTTAAAAAAAAAAAAAGTATCCCTTTGCCACATGTAGACAGATGCAATTTCAATCAAAATCCCCCTCATGAGCCACTGAGCCACAGGGCACAGTGGCTCATGCCTGTAATCCTGGCACTTTGGGAGGCCAAGGCCGATGGATCACCTGAGGTCAGGAGTTTGAGACCAGCCTGACCAATACGATGAAACCCCGTCTCTACTAAAAATACAAAAATTAGCCAAGCCTGGTGGTGTATGCCTGTAGTCCCAGCTACACAGGAGGCTGAGACAAAAGAATGGCTTGATCCCAGGAGGCAGAGATTGCAGTGAGCCAAGATCATGCCACTGCACTGCAGCCTGGGCAACAGAGTGAGACTTCGTCCCAAAGAAAAAAAAAATTCCATTAGGGGTTTCATTTTGGTTTGCCTTTTTCCCTAGAACTGAACAATAGTACTGTGAAATTAAAAGGATGTACAAGTGGTTAATGAGCTGGGATGTTAAACTATATCCTGAAAAAAAAGTGAAGTAGAATGACCAACCCCAGCAAAAGAAGCACGTGGGGGCACAGCAACAAATCCGGTAATGTGTTAGAGATGGTGTCTGCACCAACAGAAAGCAGCTTCTGAAGGCCACATGGAAAGAGTGCTTGCTGGCATCCTGCCCTCCATGGGCCCACGCTCCCTTGTCTCTAGGTCTGCGCGATGGGCCGCTAGTTGAGGTGTCAGCAGCTCCAGGGTCCTCTGCCATCCCTTACTCAGTTGGTCTGTGTCTGCTGTTTCTCTGCAGGTCCAAGCCTTGTCATCAGGCAGTAAGTTTGAAGCAGAGTTGAAAGCTGAGCAAGATGAGCGGAAGCGGGAGGAGGAGGAGAGGCGGCTCCGCCAGGCAGCCTTCCAGGAACTCAAGGCCAACTTTAGTACATAGTCCGGCCGACCTTGCTCTCTGCCCACAGCTGTGCCTCACAGATCCCTCAGGAAGAGATGGCTGGGCATCTTCATCACTGCTGCCAGTCCCCTCCCTGAGCCAGTGTCTCCACCTCCACCCTGTGCCAGCTCCCATGCCAGCCTTCATTCCTCCCATTGTCCAGCCCCCTCCTGGGGGGTCCTGGGGTGGGCCGGATACCTGCCCATCTCCGTCTCCTGCCTCTGCTCCTCCGCCCTACCTGTAGCCAGAACCTGTATCTTCTCAGCAAACTTCACTTTGCCCTTGTCCCTTTACCATTCCCCGTCAAAGAGGAGTCTGCTATGTTAATTTGTATAGACATGTCTGCCTTTTTGGGTCGTCTGAGGAAATGCCCATTTTCTCGGTTAATTCTCTGCACTCCTCTCTGCGTCCCATCCAGCTTCCCTGCTCCCGTCTTCGGTAGGATTCTGCCAGTTGCTTTTGCATCTTCTGTTCCTGGGTAATGGTGGGTCTTCATTGAGGAACAGCATGCCACCATGGTGACACACAGTAGAGAAAGGACAGAGGTCTGTTCCTGCCTGCCACCCTTCTCCTGGCCCCTTAGCATTCCCCCAGTCCCTCCCTCCTCTTCCTGCTCCATTTATGTCTTTCCAGCTCAGCCTTTTCCCACTCTTCAGCGCTGTACTACTTCACTGTAAGAATGAAAGAATAGTTAGGATACCAGCGAGTAAAAGCGTTCCTATTCACTCTGATTCTATGCAAATTATATTACAATGGACACCTGATATTCCCAAGTGACAGATCCAGGGCTTGCAAAAATCCCCAGAGTCATCGCCATACTCACCATTAGCCAGTTGCTAACAATACTGTTCCACGGTATTCTGCTGTAGATGTTCTTATCCCCCACATTTGTGAGTTCTTGGGGTTGCTCACAAATACTAGGGGTTTTTATTGTATTTTTAACAAATATGTCCTAATGTCATATTTATTCTCTTTTGTAACTGCTGTCTTTACAATAAAGAAATCATCTGCCTTTCTATCTTACAGCTGTTTCTTTTTAAATTGTACAAATAAATGTGACCATCACATCAATGTGCCTGGAATTTTCTTGAGAGTAGAGGCCAGGCACAGTGGCTCACACCTGTAATCCCAGCACTTTGGGAGGCCGAGGGGGAGCAGATCACTTGAGGTCAGGAGTTCAAGACCAGCCTGACCAACATGGTGAAACCCCATATCCACTAAAAATACAAGATTAGCCAGGCGTGGTGGTGCGTGCCTATAGTTCCAGCTACCCATGGAACTGAGGCAGGAGAACCGCTGAAACCCAGGTGGCAGAGGTTGTAGTGAGCTGAGATTGCGCCACGGCACTCCAGCCTGGGTGACAGAGTGAGACTCTGTCACAAAAGAAAGGAAGGAAAGACAGAGAAAGAAAGAAAAGAGAAAGCAAGAAAAGCAAGAAAGCAAGCAAGAGAAAGAAAGAGAGAAAGAAAGAAGGGAGGAAGAAAGGAAGGAGCGAGTAGAGTATTTTATTTTTTATTTTATGATTATTATTATTATTTTTTGAGACGGAGTCTTACTCTTTGCCCAGGCTGGAGTGCAGTGGTATGATCTCCAATCACCATAACCTCCGCTTTCCAGGTTCTAGCAATTCTCCTGGCTCAGCTTCCCAAGTACCTGGGATTACAGGTACGTGCCACCATGCCCAGCTAATTTTTTGTATTTTTAATAGACACGGGGTTTCACCATATTGGCCAGGCTGGTCTCAAACTCCTGACCTGTGATCTGCCTGCCTCGGCCTCCCATAATGCTGGGATTACAGGCGTGAGCCACCACACCCGGCCAAGAGTAGAGTATTTTCTATAAGAGCCAAGTCCTATCCGGGGCTCTGTTTGACACTGAGTCCTGAAATATAGTTAGAAGTAGGAACTAGAGGCCAGGCGCGGTAGCTCACATCTGTAGTCCCACCACTTTGGGAGGCCAAGATGGGTGGATCACTTGAGTTCAGGAGCTCAAGACCAGCCTGGTAAACATGGTAAAACTGCATTTCTAGTAAAAATATAGCCGAGCTTGGTGGCACATGCCTGTAATCCTAGCTACTCAGGAGGCTGAGGTGGGAGAATTTCTTGAACCAGGGAGGTGGAGGTTGCAGTGAGTAGAGATGGTGCCACTGCACTCCAGCCTGGATGACAGAGCAAGACTCCATCTCAAAAAAAAAAAAAAAAAAGAAGAAAGAAAGAAATGAGAACTAGAGGGCTGTTTTTCGCTCTATGGGATTCAGAGCACTGATCTTATCAGTTGCCCTCCCCTTTCCTTCTGTGACGATGC